TTCGTCGTATCTTTTAAGGGTTAAGAATGCGGTTTTTGGTACCTGTTGTGGTGTTCAGCCTCATAACGTCCACAGTGGGAGCTTTTGCGGTAACTTTCAGGGTATTGAGCCGAAAACAAATATGAGAGGAGATATTTGATAATAAAGGTAATTAAAAATGATGAAAGCGTCAGTGAATGTGTTGTTCTAGAATTGCCACCTCTTAGGGGTGAAAAAAATTTCAAGCTACGCCCACAAAATAGGATCTTGGTACGTCTTAGGGGCTCTTTCAAAATTTCCGACGAGAACCCCCGTCGTTTTTCAATGGGAGTCCCCCCGGGCTTTCCGGACTTATTGAGGGGGATGTAGTAGCTCTCGGAACGTATAATATGATTGGCTTGCTACCGTAGCCAAAAACAAAAGACAAACAATTGAAACAATGACTTAGACTGAAAAACAATAGAAGCTGCTTATCATGCCAAACAAAAGCAGGTTATGAGAGCTGCTACACTAACGCTTATTGATTACGACTTAGTTATTAAGGATAGCTGCAACATGCTCCCTGATAGTTTCAAGTTGGTTGTTTTTCTGTGTTCGTTGCACCTGTATAAACGAAAAGAAAACGGTATTTGAATGTTATTTGTTTTCATCATAATACCATAACGTAAATTACCATAGCGATGAATAAATCATCAGCGAAAGAAAAAACAATGGTTTTTACGGGGAATACAGCATGAGAAACTTCAACAGGCTGGTACACCCGGGTAGTACAGTCGAACGTACTCTAACAGCCACCTCCATACGACGGCCACTTATCTACAATGACCATTTTTTGATTCCCTCTTATTTTAACGTCTCTACAACGGGCATCTCTCCACAACGGCAACGGCAACGGCAACGGCAACGGCCGCTAAAACTCGTCCCAGCTGCCAAAACAAGTTCTCGACAGCGACTAGTTCATCAACGACTGAAAGTGTATACAAAACTCATATTTTTTTATTGTAAAAGGTCACATTTGATCCGTAGGGCGGGTCTTTGGTCTCTGTTTAAGTTTAAGTTTATCAGGGCTTATGTTTGTAGAAATAATGTCGAACCTCTTCATAAGGGCCTCCTTGGGGACAGGAAAGTAGCCGTTGTAGAGAGGTGGCTGTAACGGGGAGGAAGGGGTGTAATATGACAACTGTTAAGTCTGTTAAGTTTCTGTTTTATTGATACATTTTATTTACATAGGCTAAAATAAGCATTTTTCTTTTAAATGTTGCACCCCCGAAAAAAAAAGGTGTCACATTACACCCCTTCCTGCCCGTTACAGCCACTTCTCTACAACGGCTACTTTCCTGTCCCCAAGGAGGCCGTTATGAAGAGGTTCGACTGTTTTTCTACAAACATAAGCCCTGATACAGTAAGGAAATAAACAGGACATTTTGAAGATGCTTGAGCCCAGAACAAGTTACGATTTTCACCAGCTGGCAGATAGGGTAAAAAGTGCCATAGGTAAGTTGCTATTTTTTTCACAGATCTTCTAATTAAGAGTGTCGGATCTTTTTTAGAGATAAAATAAGGAAAAAACTACAAACTGATCCTCACGATAGGGGGAAGAGATTGAGACAGATATGAACTAAAAACCAAATACTTGAATATATTTTCCCGATGCAAACCTTTTACGCGAACAGGAGCCATAATCGGGGAGACCATTAGCGCGCGCCATTGGGGCTGTCCCTATGATATGGGACAATTCTCCTATTTTTAGAACAAATTGCGCCATCATGTGCGGCACACGCACATCATTTGCGGATGTAGCGCGGGGAAATGGCTTCCGAAATTCCCGAAATGCTTGATGCTTTTGGCCCACACCTCAATACGTTCATGTCTATTGGAATTTTACTAGAGTATTTTCCTCGTAAGCTGCTCCAGTTTGAGTGAAGTAAGACAGTGTCGAATTTAGTTATGTCCCGCTTTATATGACTGACGAAGTTGTGTTCCGCTCCTTCTTTTACTCCACTATAAGTTTCACATATGTTGACGATTAACAGCTTTTCCAAAACACAGCAAAAAAACTAGTTGGATATATTTGGATATAGCAGCGTTTCAGGACTTCAAAGTTTCCCTCCTGTTGCCACTCGCTTGCGAGGATTTCGCGAGAGTCTATCTCGACTGAAAAGTACTGAAAAAAAATTTACAATAACTGTCTAATTTCTCGCGCCCTGATTGGCTCATTTTATCATCAGTAAGAGTACAGACGGATAAATTTTGATTTATGCAGGCTTTCAAGTTAAACTTTCAGCTGTCAAAGTGTCAACTTTTTAACCAATGAGAGTTTATGGAGTTTTTTAAGTAGCCAATCAAAAAGCGAGAAAAGCTATTGACAATGTTCGTGTCATTTTGAATAAAATTCACTTAGCTTTGTTTGCGCCAAGTTTACGGCGTTTTTTCCCCTCATTTATTCCCGGCATTTGACCATTTTGGGATCTAATTATTGTAAAAAACAAATTGACGTCAGTTTTCTGTGCGTCTGTCCTCTTATTGATGACAAATTTCGTCATAACGTCGTCAAAGTTTACTGCGGAACCACTCGCCTGCGGCTCGTGGTTCCACAGCCACTTTGACAATGTTATGACGTGAAAATTGTTGCAGCATCTCAGCACAAAAGACAACGAAAGAAATCTTTGTCAAGATTTGTTGACAATTGACAACACCGACTCGGATTTGAAAGTTCAAGCGCTGCACTATGCAAATGAGCTAATGTATGTGTCAGACTTTCCTTTCAAAAACTCTTGTAAACTCGCCAAACAAACAGAAACAATAAGAAGCTATCAAAAACAGGGTTTGGTTATGATTAAGCATTGTTTGGGAAACTCACAAATTAACTCGATATCAGAGTAAAGAGTGGTTTTACGTAACTTTTCTTTACAGAACAAACGCAAAAGCTTACGCGTACAACTAGCGAGAGCAGATATTATTCATTCACAGCGCGAAATTGAAGTCGTGTTTTCGACCCTGAAAAACTCACCTTTTCCAGTGGCTCACAGCATAAACCTACGTATAAGAGCCTGCTTCTTATTCCCTGCCTTATTCCCTGCCATCGCTGTGAAAAATCTGAAAGAGAATCTCGCAACTCTCACCATTTGATCACGCAAAGTGACAACATCCACGCGAAAGCCCCCGACATGTGCGTGGATCCGCGCGCATATATGACGTCAGGACCGCGCAATTTGTTCTTAAAATAGAAAAATTGTCCCATATCATAGGTGCGCGCGGATCCCAAGACTTACGGTCTCCGTCCCCGATTATGGCTCCTGACGCGAGCTAAAAAGGAAAGGCGAATACCATCCCCAAGGTTTGTTAACAAACCGAAAAATCGGGCAAATATATTCAATTATTTGTTTTTTTAGTTCAATTCCGGTGTCAATCTATTCTTCTTTCCATGCGAGTCAGTTTGCTGTTTTCTTTTCACTGATTACATGTTTTCTTTCGCCCTTTACGGAGCCGGCTATTGTGGGTTCAGTTACTGATATTAAAAACGGGGTATTGCCTTGAGTTGATACCGTGTAGAAACACGTGCGGTTGAAAGACGGAGATGAATGACCAAAGAATACAGACGAGATGCGGACACGAGACCGGAAGGGAAAGTGATGGGGGTGAAGTACAAAATTCCTGGCAGGAATTCAGTCTGCCATATGGTCAAAGCCATTCTCTGCAAAATTGGAGCATTACCTGACACTTAGCTCATGACCATGGAATGGAATCGTCAAAATCATCTGTGACGGCGCCATCTACCACAGGAATCAGTTTTCTCAAAGCGTTGAAAAGCTGTTTACCTGAAGTGCTATAATCACATTCATCCACACAGAAGTCCTGAAAGTTTGAAAGTTTAAAATATGTATAGTTCAGTGTCTCTCTTGGGAAAGAGAGTTTACACGAGGAGATTTTACATGCAGTGCTTTCCGAAGAATCAAGTAAGACGCTTATTTCGTTTTCAGATCTCTCGTGGGCCAAGAAAGAGAGAGATCTGGGAACGAGATTATTAAAGCGTACGACAGCTGGGAAATGAGAAAGCAGCCGATATAATTGGTAGCCAAATGCAGATTCAACGAGGCCTGTTGGGTGAGGTCACTCATTAAAGATTAGAAAGAACTTTTTGGTTTTTATACGGGTCCTCTATCCTGTTCGAATTGATGTTTGGAGATGCTGGTTTTTGTGGAGGGAGGAAAACCGGAGAACCCGAGAAAAACCCTTGGAACAAAGCAAGAACCAACAAAAAACTCAATCCATATGTCACTGGGACGAAATCGAACCCAGGCCACATTGGTGGGAGGCGAACGCTCTCAGCACTGCGCCATCCCCGCTCCCCACATCAAATCTTAACGAAATCTGCATTATCAGGTCGAGAATTTTTGGTTTGGAGCAAAGAAGAAGCAAGAAGCTTGTAACTTCTATTGATAATTCTCATAGCTACCTTTTATGATCTCACCTTTTCATTTTTGGGTGGCT